CTTCAACACAGAGCATCTTCAGAAGACAAGCTGATAAAATACATTTTAAAAATCTGTATTGTTCCATACAAGGGTGTATTAAACGGTTTGATATGTGTACATGTATTTTTGCAAACTTAATATCTGTTCTTTCTTTCAGTCCAGCTTTAATCAGCTTGATGTGTTGACTAAAGCACTCCGTCCCTCTGCTGCCTTTAAAGTTTATTTTTATGACTGAGGAGTGACGTTTCAGCTGCAGTGAAACTGGATTTAAAAGGAGGAGGAGGAGGAAACTGCGTCACTCGCCCGCACTGACCTGCCCTGATAATCACTGCAGGGCCGTCGAGCCACCATGACTGCACATTTCTGCACCTCGCGCTCCTGAAACTGGGTTAAATCAACCAGAGCGATAAAAAGAAACAAACAGARCAACACTGTGAGCGACAACAAATCTCACAGTGTTTCTCTGTCAGTTCTGGAAATTATGTCATCCTTTTTTTCTTTTTTGAAGGAGAAGAAAATGGTGCCACTTATGTAACTGTTGAAATATTAAAAGAAAGCAAAGCGTGCAAACAGCCTGTTTAACTCCAACAGGTCCGAATTAAACCTTCATTCATCTTATTGTTGCAKAAAGGAAGTCATAAACAGGTCAAACTGAAAACAACGTGAAAGAACGAAACTCAAAACAAGCCCAGCTCTGTGGTGAACACACCACACGTTTAATTGCACGAATATTTTTCACGCGTGCGAGGGTTTATAAGTGGAAAGTGGCTTGACACGCTAACGAGTAAGTACACAGTGCGCTCTCACGAGTGAAAAAGGGGGAACCACAGAGCGCTCTCTGTGGTTCCTATAGTTGATGTGCAGCGTCCGTGCCCCACCGGAGGCAAATAAATCTGACTGAATGAACCACTTTACTGCAACATGAGGTCAGACTGATGAGATTTAATAAAACATACAGGGCTACAGAGTTAAAACTTCATTTTAAAATATAAAAAGCTTCTATTTGTAACATAACCTATTAGTGTTTGTTTTGAATATTTGTGTTATTTTAAACCGAATCGTGATATTTCACAATACATCATAAAGTTATTAGACTGTGCTCAATAATAGGCCGTAAAATTATAAATACAGTGCATTTGTTTGRAAAATTAATAATATATTTGGTCAAAACTCTCCTTAACCAGATTTAATGGAGAAAGTGAAACAAAGTGACATCATCATTATCGCGATTTTAAACGATAACATTGAATATCGTGCAGTCCTGTTTACATTTAGATGTTTATTTTGATTTTAGACACTTTATCAAACATTTTTTCAGTATTTTGTTGTTTCCTAGAGAGCTGTGAAACCCGTCTGGTACCTTTGAGCTATGTCTCCACCAGCTGCAGGTACTGTTTGGACCTTTTWATGCCGGGATTTATCTTCAGGCCGGGCCTTTCCTTTATTATATTTTAAATATGGTGCACTTGTTTGGCACATTAATGATATATCTGGTCAAAACGCTCGCTCACCACATGCACAGGCCTTGAATTAATAGAAAAAGTGATAAAATGCACGTTTCTGCTAACAGGTATCGTCATCGCGGTTTTAAACGATAATATCGAATATCGTGCAGTCCGGTTTGAGCTGATTTAGCTTCTCGGAACCAGGTTTTGGACACTTTATGTAACATTTTGTCAGTATTTAGTGGTTTCCCTGAGCCGTACAGAACCAGAACCTTACCTTTGAGCGAGGTCTCCACCAGCCGCAGGTACTGTTTGGACCTCTTGTTGCCGTGACTCATCTTCTGGGCCAGGCCGTTCCTCTGCAGCACGCACTCCTCCAGCTGGACCACGTTCTGGTGTCGGTTCTCCAGGCTCGTCAGGGCCCAGAACTCGGCCAGGGCCAGCTCCACGTTCTCCGGGGCGTCGCACTGGAGCCTCTTGACCGCCACCCTGGCCCCGGTCTTCCGGGCCACGGCCTCGTACACAACACCGTAGCTGCCGCGGCCCACCTCGCGGAGCAGGCTGTAGCGGGGCGACACGGCCGAGGCTGCGCCGGACGGGTCGGGCCGGAGGAAGCTGATAGAGAAGCAGTCCTCGTCGTCCATGAGCCCGGAGCGACGAATGTTGCTCTCCACCGTGAGGGAGCGGAGGACCTTCCCCGCCTCCCGCTTCATCCTGGCGGCCGCAGGCCGCCTGCGACTCCGCACGCCCCCGCTTACCTTTCTTTTCTTCCCGTTTCGAAGATCCATAACTTCTTTTTTGTTGAAAGCAGGCATGAGGCGAAGGCGTGTTTCTCTTTCATTACTCAAACTCGGAGCGATTAAAGTTCGGTCCTAACGTCCGCCGGGCCGTGGTGGGCAGGAGTCAAACCCGAACTGTTTTTGTTCAAAACACCGCCTCGGGTGACGCGCCGCGGGACGTCCGTCCAGCTGTTTTAACTAATTTGGCTTCCTAAACAAAATGTTCCAGCGCTTTCACAGAACAGAGGGCGTGGCTTAACGCTGCGGCGCGCTGATTGGCGGAGGCCGAAAGCAGCTCCCGGAAGTACAACTGTAAAGAAATTAGCAAACATGCTACGTTTGTTTTGATTTTGAAGCTGAAAGTGGGCCCAAGATTAAACGGTCTGCTTTTAGATGAAAGTTTCCCCCGATTTGAAATGTATTTAGAGGTTGGTTCTGGTTCGGTCCGTTCGGGTTTCTCCTCTCAGGCTCAGGGTGGGGGGTGAGACCCGGAGGGGGGAGTGGGCGCACGTGTACCTCGGCATGTTTCACAGCGTCACGTTAGAGCCACAGTGGCTGTAAACATTATGTAATTTATTTTTATCAACCAGTTTGTGTTTTTGATCATTTTAAGAA